AACCAGGTAAATTGTAAACTGCTCAGACCTCATCTTTGAACTGCTTCACGTTGAAACTCAGCGGATTGACCCGGTCCCCTTGACTTTCCGTCAATAGCTGGCGTATCGAGCCTACCTGAAATTGATCAGTTCGCCAAAGATGAAAGGCAGGCCATATGTCCTTCTGGCTATCGGCTCTCGTCGTCGGCACGAACCAGTTCTCTAGGTCTTGACCTAAGCATGCTTATCGCGTACTATTGCGGACGGATACACTTCTCATGAAGACTGATCAGATGTCAAAAATGGACGCACTCTCTGCAGAAAGTGCAATCACATAATGCGAAGAGATCGACAACAAATACTTTTAAAGATATAGCACTCAAGTGACTGAGTGCACTATTTAATTTAAGATTACTCACTTTACATCAGTGACCTCCTTTCTTGCACGTGATCGCATTAATATAGTATATTACGTCAAAAGGTTAGATGGAGTATAACGATTAATTTAGGAAAGTCAAAATCTGTACCCGAAAGGCATTTTTAGGACGTATATATTTTCTTGAACAGTTGACGTAACCGGAAGGGGAATAGAGAATCGATCTCGCATGTCTGCGCAAAATCTCTTTTCAGCGAAATGGATAGTGAAAGGAAAGATAAGAGTACTTAAGGGACATGATATAATGACTTCGAAAAACTCGGAGATGAAATGGATAAGAAGTAGCTGAAGATTTACGATAGAACCTTTCAATAGACCACAAATGGATGAGAGCCGATGGAGCGTGTCAACGTTCGAGAAAAAATTGATCAGTCTTCAAAAGTATCGCGCACTAGTACGCAGAAGTTTCGCATAGCTTGAGTTGATGCAATCCCTTACCGCATTGGTCCTGGTTATAGTTGTCGGAGTTTTCGCTGGCTTCCATGTTGTCGAAGCTATTTTAGGCTTCCAAGCTGACAAAACTTTTCTTGGTTTCCATACTGGCGCCAATTTCTTTTTCCATACGTTGTAGGATTTAATGGCCTTCGGAACCCTTTTGTGTGATTCTGGCATAGGCGTGCCCTTCTTTGACAACATAGTTAGAAATTCGGATACTGCTTCCTTGCGCTCCTCAGATCTCGAGTCAAATGGCTCTGCGCTCGAATCCGTGTCTGTCTGGGAGGCAGAGTAAGTCAATCTGAAAAAAGGAACTTGATTGTGCAGCAATGATTATAGGCGCTAAGAACATACTTGATACTTCCGCCGGTAGCGATTTGAATAGGATAGGTGTTCTCCGCTTTCACAGATAACTCTTGCCATTCAGGTTCAGAGATGGTATCCTCTTCGACGCCGAGTCTCACAAAGAGACGTTCGTTTGTTCCCTGGAATATTTGTGAGGACGAGTTGACAGCAGAATCTTGGCACAGACTGATATGAATTTTCTTACCTGGTTAAATGTGGTTTTGAAGCAATTTTCCGAGTCTGCCTTGTGAACACATGCTGAGGAGTATACCGCATGTGGATAAGACTCGACTATGCTTTTACCCCTGCAAGTAAATGATAAAGATGACTACAGGCAAAGAAGGAGGGGGAAATACGAAATAAATGAAAAGAGGCTATTATCAAAGTTAAGAAATTATTTTACCTGATATTGGGACTACACTGGCAAGAATGGCGTTCCGACGGATTGAGTTGTAATTCAACGTTACGAGGACAGAGACAAAATCTGTAAGATAAGAGCGTGATAAAAACGAATTCAACCAGAAATGAAGAAAGAGCGTACTGGAAGGTGTAGAGTTTCTTCAGTTGGCCTACGCTGTGGAAATGGTAACCTTCCAACCCGTCGTATTTCAGCACCGTAACCTCCGTTACTTTCGCCTGAAAAACAACCACTGGATCACTGAGAACATGAGGCGCCCTCAAGGGGAACTCACCTCTGAAACGGTGAGACAAAGAAGAGCGAGAGTGATAGCGAACAGCTGGCTGTCCATAAGTGCGGTGTAGGTCTAAATGCCTGCACTTCCGGGCGCAGCGCCGTGCTTTTGTATTGCTAGCGGGTGACCTTGGTCACACCCCCCGGAGGTGGTCAGCTTTGCAGTACTTTGTCTCAAAAGGCAACAAATTGTTGTACTTTTGTCATCAGTTGCTCTAGTATAAAAGGGTCCTTCGCCGAAGAACTGGTTGAAAATGAGAACTTATTTCGCAAGAACGTGTTCTTCAGCATGAACCACGCTCCCTAATCAAAAATTTCATTATGTTAACTAAATTTAATCAAGGTATAAACCCAATGACGACACGTCTGTCACATAGTTCAACAAGTACATCTCAACTATGACCGATGACTTACGAATCTGGACATATAAAAAGTTCAGATTTAATCAAATGTCGGAAAGAGTCCTTCCAGCTCCTCCACCCAAAACACAATCCTAGACTATCAATCGCAACACGAATACATGTTTCGATAAACAGTAAAACTCGCATCATTTAAGATCACGTGGTGACTTTTGAAAATGATGAACTTTCACCTTACGCGGTGACAGTTTGTTCTTTACGAGTTTTTCATACATTGGCCGAACTCAACAACCTTTGAAGAACATTGAGAGATGTGGAAATCTTTCGAGATATTGCGTTTGATTCCGGAATTCATGAGCATCAAAGGCACGAGAGGGCGTTTCAAACTTTCCCTTTATAAGCAGGGAAAACCTATTCCGGATAACAGGGAGATTTGTTCAAAACAGTTGAAAGTTTACATGGAGCTAATCCTGAGGTGAGCAGGAGCATTAGAGGATCAGGAAAGCTTATGAACGTACGAATGAGGTCTGACAAGTCTGTCTCTTCCTTTGGGTAGCACGCGGTGTCACCTGGGACGGCTTCAAAAACACAAAGCTAATCTTTTCTCATAGTCTAATTTCTTCTTCGCAATTAAGTAACGCTAGGATCTAGCGCTAGAATTAAGTTATAATAAGATTAGCTGTCTCCATATTACAAGGCCTTAAACAACATGAAAACCACCATTTTTACCTGCTGTAATGCCCCCCCCCCTTTTCCTTTTAATTGTCTCCTGAGCATTAACACGACTCCTTGATTTGCTGTATATTAACACAAATGTCGTGTTTCATAGATCACGTGGTGACTATTAATGAACTTTACCATTTACGAGATGATATCGTCCGTTCTTTGCCTGTTCTTCAACATCGTGCTGGACTGAAATGTCCCTTACTCGTTATGAACAAAGATTGTGGCGATGAAGTGATGTGTAGTTAAAGGTACTAAAACCACTGATTGCCTTCTTTGGCCTTACCTAGATTGTTGAAAACTTTTATTCAGTATCTGAAACCCTTATGTCAGCTTCGTTCGAGCCTTGCCAGTTTTTAAGTCGAGTTGAGCCACCAGCTAACCCTTGTGAAGGGTGCTAGTAATGATCAAACTAATCACAACAAAAAGTCCTTTATTTTCATAAACCAAGTGGTAACAGGCTTTGCGAATTACGAACTCCCAAGGAATCCAAGATTAATTGTTCAAAGAAGATTCAACTATAGCCTTTCAGCCATCCGTCTGCCCACATCTGACTAACAAGTTGTTTCATATGTTTTTTCAACTTTCGCTTTCCAGCAATAACTCATACACTTCCCAGTTCTAGTCAGAGAGTAGGATACCATTCGATAGAGAAAAGCAGGCTCTACAAGGCATGTAAACTTTCGAGCTTCAATACATTTCGAGTTAAGAGCTGAAATCTAAGAAGTTTCGGGCGCCCAAAAAATCGAAAATCGAATATACCTTTGTTTAAGAAAACTTACTGCAACTCCCACTTGTTCATGCATATACAGTCCAATAACACATTCATTTGCGCCGTTGTTGTATATTTCTATGCTGGAAACCGAAAAAA